ACACAACACCTTCCTGACAGTGGACGAAGAGGACGAGGACTTCAGCGAGCTTCCGCCAGGAACTCAATCTGGGACAGAAGTGAAACATTGAGATTCCGGCTTCTTGTTAACAAGCCCTTTCAACTAGCGTTTATATGCGGGTTTACAGCAAGTAACATTTAACGTGATGATAAGGGAAGCTCCGTTGTGCAACAAGGGCCGAACACCACTATCGTGTGTGTTTTTCCACGGGCTGTGGCATGCGATGTATGTATCACGTTTTGTCGTAAGAGCAAAAATTGCAGTCATTACTCGGTTCTGTTTGGCTCGTTTCTGTTCTGTTCGGTTCCAAGCGGTTCGATTCTTCCGATTCGCGGTTCTTTTCAGTTTGGTTCACGGCTAAATGGCACTTCTGATTGTCTGCTCCGACCGCCCCGTGCCCGTGGGCCTGAAAGTGAACACCGGCTCCCGCATGCCGTCGGCGGGGCTGGGGGCTCCAGCTTCCTGTCACGGCAGTAGCAGTACATCCGAAGCTTCCAGTGGTGTCACTGGAGACACGGTGTGTTCGCAAAAGCAAGATGCCCAGGTTCGAGACGTCAGCACTTGAGGTGCAAATTGGAGAGTCTCCCTCGGCCTGCCCCATTATCCAAGCCAGAAACAAGTAAGATTCCGTCAGAGCCTATGTCCCCGAAGCCCTGACGAAACAAGAAAGGCTTACGCATAGCAACAGAAAGGAGCCGGCTTTCAATGCCGTGGGCACGAAGAAACGTTTCCTAGATACAAGTAACAGGCGGGCAAGAAATCAAACGGTGGGATGATTCGTGCACATTATAGGGGGGGATAGCTGTGCCTACTTTTCGTTTCTTCTTTCGGGTGAGGGGGTTGGGGGGCGGGGGAAGGGGGTGACGTTCTCTGTTTGAAGATACACTATGCCACTGTTCCCGTTGCAGTTCTTGATAGTGGGTGGTTGCATGGTGGTGGATGATATCGCTTCTAATGCGCCTGCCACAGGAAGCAGGCTTCCTCTTGGAGTTGTTGACGGCTTTTTGCGTGTATCATTTCATATATTGCCAAATCACATCATCACATGCCCTTGCATGTCATGATATATCATATCATGTCCTGTCATCTCCTATCAGTTCAGATCATGTCATGTCACAATACGACTTGCTTCAGTAGATTCAGTAGATTCTCAACCCAATGTCAAACCCTGTTTCGTGTCACAGGCGTGCAACTTTCGGTATGTTCATCTGTGCTACTGTCGATCTATTAAGTGCCGTCTAACAGCCTCACCAGGCCGTAAGCGCGATTAGCGTGTCCAGAACTCGAGTTTTAAGCGTGTTCCCAAACCGTAAACCCTCCTGGATTGTCCGAGTGCGAGCGCCGAAAAAGAACAAGAAAGTACCTTCAACAAATCCAAGACCTGTGGCAGGCGCGGCAGAAGCGATGTAAACATCCTTTCAGAAGGGCGCAGCTATCCCCCCACCGGGATGTTTGTGGATGCCGGCATCGCCGGCATAGATGTGGTTCCGAAATTGTTCGACTACTGTGCCAGCCAGCGAGCCTTTCAACTGTGCTTGCTGTTTCCAAGGCTGCGGAGAACAAAGAGCATGTGACCTACCTCTGAGGATCGCGAATCCTTCATGCAAACTTGTTTCATGTGCATGGAGGAGTTGACAGCTGACATAACCTACATAGTGACATAGCCGACATAGGAGTTATGAGGTGGGCCACCCCCTTTTATCGCTCTTCCAACGGGCCAGAGGTCCCGAGATTTTGGTAGCAGCCGCTATACAGTCCAGCTGATCCGGTATGACCTGGGGCAAACCACACTGCCTCACTAGCATCTTGTGCCTGAAGCTGCCGGACTGGCTATTTCGGCCCTTGCTCTTGAGCTGGCGAGCGCAGACGCGGCAGGGAGCACGTCTTACGAGCCTAGGAGCTCGGGCGCGCCAGGAGACTTTTAAAGGCCGGATGACCCGGTTGCCAACCCTGCATGATCTGATGTAGAAACGGGTGACAAAGACGGTGCCACCCAGACTTGTAACGTCCGCTGCGCTACGAAGATCCTCTAAGATGATGTGTCAACGCTTCGTTTAAGACATCGTCGCGCAGCGATGACGGGTGCCGATCACCAGTTTTCCCGCTCTGTGGGTTGCAGCCTTGTCGTCCAAAAAGTCACGTAGAACAGCCAAGCACAAGCGCATCATCCGGGATAGGGGTCGAGACCTTCCAGCAATGTCCAGCCATGCAGTGGTCACCCCGTACTCTACATGCGCAGTGGAAGACTTGTCGGTCATCCTGTAATCTTACAGCTGCAGCAGCCGCAGAGAACTCGGAAGAACGGTTCTACATTGTCGCAAGCATCACCATCGGAGGCATAGCTGCGCCCAAACCTGAATGGGCGAATAGAACAAGAAGCATACCCAAAGCGAGTTCATCCAGAGCTCATACAACCTCAGACTGGCAGCAACCCAGAATTTTGTACCGCATGCTCGCCAGCAGAAGCGGTGTCCAGAGATGCACGACAAGGGAAGATTTCGAGTAACATGGCATCCTCGGTGCGTACCCTCTCACAGCTTTCCTTGCATCTACCTCAAATCCTTTGAGCATTATGCCCGTGCACGCAAAAATTCACCTGGGCGAGATTGCCAGCTTTTCCTGAGTTGCCCCGGCGCGAGAGAACGGAATTCGCCTCCTCACGTGCTTGGGCGAGGATTGTTGGCTTCTGCAGCTTGGGGTGTCATCGCCTGTGATCAGGCAGTAGCAGAAAGCGACGAGAGCTAGAGTTCCGAAGTAGCCTAAATCTGAATATACTCTAGTGGTCTAGACCGCCGGTGTGAGGTGCCATGCCCTCAAAGGGGCCTCTGGTGTATCCTAAAGTAGTTGGACGGCTCTTCAAGTCGACTCGCTTGGGTAGGGGGACAAGCTCGTTTTGCACATATTACATAATTTTGACGTAATTACTGTTGAATGTGGATGTCTGCATGTCGACTTGGACATCCTACTACCCAACCTCACGTACTAACGTTATATATTACATCTGAGCTGGTGGGAAAAACGTTATATATTCGTGAAACATATTCGCGGCTGATCCTGGGTTCATCTGGGCCAAGCCTAGGGGCTTCTCGCAAAATTGCCTGCTGTTGATGGATTCGGCTCCTTCAAACATAAAGAATATGCCAATACCCTTGCCATGGCTTCGCCCAAGCCGCCCAAGCCAAAACGGTTCCATTCCTCCTGCGGCACTGGTGCCAGATGAGGGCCTCTTGAAGCTGCACGGTGTTGTCGAAGTTGATGCAAGCAGTGGATAATCGCTACGATGCATGCATGACTCACCTTGCACAAACTGTTTGCTGTCGCCCATGACCTCTGCTTCGAGAAGCCCCCTGCGGCACGGGAGTGTGCCGGCTGAGCAAACAAAACGAGACAGGGCTCGGAGTGCCGGGGGTTTGTGCTCTCACTCTTTCGCCGCGTTTGCTGGAGCCGCTGAATCCTGGAACCTGTTTGGCCCTGTGAAGCTATCGTTGCCCGGCGCCGTTTGACCTGTGGGCGCGATGGACCTGGACTCGGGGCTTACCTGGGCAGCACGCTGAGGAACACAGGTGTCAGCATGTACTCTCCGGCTGAAGTGTGTGGCTGGACCAAGCCAGGCTTAGGACGGCTTGCAACTTGTTCAGGATCTAACTTTGAGTGAGATTCGCTCGGAATCTTGATTTCGCGTGCATGCCTGCATGCCTACTTCGTGCGTTCATGTCTCTGAGGCAGAGGCGACTGCCATTGCCGGCTGCAATTTCTTACGGAGTGCCGAGGACTTACGAATTTCCTGCTGAACCGTCAATAAGCTGTCAGAGAGCTGCCTTTGTACAAGTGACTTTGGGCCTGGGAGGTGCTTTCGGACATGGGAGACGTGGTCTGCTGCCATGGCCCGAACCGTTTCCTAACTTGAATGACAGCTGGACGTGGGGACTGGAGCGTGGCATTCGTGTTCATGTCCTTCACACAGATGCCCATACCGAAGAGCCCGGAGTTCCACACAGAGCTGTTTTTGGCCCAGGTCTATCTGGAGTGGGACTGCCACGCATCTTGCCGGATGGGCCCGACAGCGTGACAGGCTGTAGCTTGCCATCCGGTCTGGAGGTTTGACATGCCGGTGTGCAGGCACAGGTGCACAAGCCTGGAGACTAATTCTGCATGTGACAATTGCGAGGTTTTAGTCACGGTTCTTTGTGGTCTCAAATCCCTGCACATCTGAAACACAAGTTGCACATCCACGGGAGTGCACGTCTGCTGTAGGCTCAATCGATCTCACCCGGCCTCCAGCTGCATGCGAGATGCTCCCTTCCCTGCCCGATGCCAAGCAAAGGAGCCGACTTGGCCTTGCACAGCATGTCGGGTCTGCATATGGGAACTGTCTGCCTTCTGGTGGTGTGAATGTCCTGATGATATCAGCAGGGATCAGGATCACGGGAAGCCGAAAAGCCAAGGTCCAGCGCGAGACATAGTTGGAGGAGAGGTAGAGCGCATCTTGGCTTGCCGCTATGTCCCATTTCTGTGGTTGTTGAAAGTCCACTTGCGCGTTCTGTTTCAAAAAAGTCGTTTTCGAATCGCTGCCACACCCAAGCCTGAGATGCCATGAACTCCACAGCTGGAGTCCTCATCGTTGCACGCGTTAGCTGAAACCTGGTGCAGAGGCAGCTTCAGGAGTCCTTGGAGACGGGTCCGTCTGGAGCCTCAGACATCGCTGCAATGCTAAGTTTCATCATGTCGGGCAAGAGTTGATTGAAGTATAGTCAACCTAGTCTAGTCGCAGCACCTTCCTGTTTCTGGGTGAAACCCTTCAGCTCTGGAACTCAAGAACTTTGTGGGGCTGGCGTCATTTTCGGGAGCTGTCGATGACATTGGGCCTTGGGATGGTCGTCCTGTGAGGACTGGATCAAACCCCAGCTTCAAAACCTTGTGAAGTGTCTGCTGCCGGAATTAACGCCTTTCTGATGGTTGCCCTTAAAGACGCCGCTGCCATGGCCATTACAGCGAGGCCAACAAAGCATGAAGTTCTCAGTTTCAAGCTTTGGGCCTCCAAGGTTGGAAGGCCTCTTCCGCGAGAGCCCGCTGGCAGTCTTCCGTGCCGTGCCATGGAGGAGCCTGAGGCCTCAGTTGCAGTGGGACAGGTTCGACATAGCTCGCACACCAAGGCAAAGTAGTGTCTGGGTGCCCGCGAGATGTTTAAGGATGCCGTCGCTCTGCTGCTATTTGACGCAGGCACACTGTAGCACGAATGTGCAAGTAGCTATTTCGGACGTTGGGCCCAAGCGGGATTCGAGTTTTGATCTGGATATGGTGATTGCTTGTGTTCAGTTCTCTTGCTTCTTCGTCCTTGTTGTCTCTTCTAATTTATCGTCACGACAGCAACGACGACGTCGACTACGACTACTGCAATCACTTCGATGCTGACGATTCCGACGACGAATGCTCCCAATACTATCAATATCGCCTAAATTATTGCAATCAACAATTTGGCTGATCTTGCTGTAAACTACTGTCTGGTGTATAGTGTATACTCCGACTACTGCTTGACTATGCTGGAGTTGTACGACGACGACCACCACCGCCACCGCCACGACTGCTACTAACTACTGCTGCTGCTGCGACCGCGACGACAACAACAATAACAACGCAGATGGTTAGCACTGGCAGGTTGATCGGTAGTCTTGGTCTTAGTCTGGCATGTATCATGACTAGGCGGAAGATTCCTGGCACATCGCGGCATTATGTTCAATGCCGTCGGGACTGCAGGGGCTCCACTGTACTGATGCCTCCTCCGGCCCAGGTGTGGAGCGGGATCCTGTGCCACCAGCGGAGAAAGACCTAGAGGAGGATGTCGAAGTACTGCCCTGAGATTTCCTCTTGGCTCAGCCCGATCATAGATAAACTGCCGATGGACTTCGGCAAACATGGGTCTTGGATCCCTGAAACTGTGTAACCTAGAAAGCTTGCTCAAATGAGATCTCAAATGAGAATTCTGGCATACGCGATGCAACAACCCCCCGGCCCGGCCTAACTCAATCATCAAGTCATATGAGGGTCGAGACAATCGTGTTGGCCGTCTGAACATATACAACAAAATACAGCTTGATAACAGTACAGTTCAGGACATCGACATCGAGATGGTTAGCAGCGAGGACGTTTTTGCAGGCCGGCACACGCGCGTTTTGTAGAGTGTTCATTCGTCCAGAGACAGGAAAGTATCAGCTATGTAGTGCTAGTAAGTATGTATTATAACTGTAAGTACCACATAGTCAAATAAGTAGGAACAGCAACTGTCTCAGACCTTGCAGAAATCCCCGAGACTTCATGTATTTGACCTTTCAGGCGACACGAAAGACAGTGTTTTTGCCGCAAGATCTCGAGTGCCACTTAAATCGCGCCGGGGGTTAAGAGCTGTGAAAAAGGCAGGCACCTCGCCGAATTTGTTCGGGGAGGAGAGAGAACCCCCAAACTCTACTGGGTAGGGCGAAAGAGCTTTCTCCAGCAGCTTCCACTCCCGGGAAAAAGCACATGGGTAAGGGAGTCGTAGGAAAAATCCCACGGTGACTCCCCGAATTCCACACGCGCAGGCCCATGCGAAGTCATAGAAGAGCCTGTGCTTTCAAAAATCTACATCAACGACGACGGCGTCATTCAGAGCCCTCCACTCAGCATGATGGAGCAAGGCCAGGACGTCGGCTGAGAACAGGAGCTGGCAGAGGATTTATGAGAAGATTCAGAGACACCGGAAAGCTCTTCGAGTCAGCGTTTACTTGGTGCGCCAATGGATTATATAGTACGGCGCGAAGGGTCTCCTTTGCCAATGCCTTTGAGGTGCATCTGGTAAAGCAGACGCCACAGCTGCATGGTATCTGGCCGGTTCCCCATGCAAACATGTGTTTAAGCATCATCGTTGCAATCAAGGGAACACTTAAATTGTAGTCTCGCTGGCCAAACCTGTGGCACACTGGTCCTTCATAGTTGCACGATGCTCAGGTCTGACACACCATTGAGCTTGGCCTTGCGCAGACCCATCTCCGGATCGGCGTCGTGCAGGTTGCCAAGGGCTCCGCAGAATTTTCAAGCACTGGAAGCATTAAGGTCAACTGGCAACAGGACCTTGTTGAGTGCAGCTAGCTGCGGCCAGAAATCGGCGCAAGTGTACATATGCAGTTCTCTGACTTGCTGCATTTGGCCCAGCCTTCTGTACAGTATTGTGCGCCTTGGAGTTGCGCTTGGAGTAGCATGGACACACCCCGAAGGTTTGCCCTAGCCTGGGGCCAATATTTCCTTGGCAATTGGCATCATTGTTTGGTGGCGATGGGTGGAACTGAGCATGCAGCATACGTGCTTTGATGGCTGAGCCGGAGGCATTTCCCCACGATGTGGATCCCTGTACTGCCTGAACCGCGCACGCTTCAAGCCATTTGAAAACTTTAGCGCGCAACTCCCGGGCCTACCGCTTGCATACGGGCGAGGTCTGTTTCGTTTCGCACGATTTTGCTACAAACTTCTGCGAACTTGAAAAGCTCATGGCTGGTTATGAGGCTGTTCTTCAACAAGAAGCCTCTAGTCCAAGGTCTTAAGCTTTGTATAAAGCTAGTTCTCAGACTCCGGTCTCGAAGCAGATCTCTTTCCCGAAATGGATCTTAGGTTGTATACAACGCTTTCATGGCAGATCATGGGAGGCCCTCCACATCCAAAGACGCAAAGTCAGAGGGTTGCTTTTCTCGTCAACTTTGTTCTGTGAGAGTATGACAGCATGACAGTATTTCGAGCTGTTGGGCTTCGGCTAAGCAGATACACTTCATGGGGACGGTGTGGAACAGATCCGTTTTGGGAAGTGCATCCTTTAATGAATTTGGCACGGCCCCACTTCGCTTCCGGGAAGCACTGCACCCGAAGTGCAGGGGCCGTGGCCAGTTATGAGACGAATCGCAGCAGGCAAGACTGCCAGGAGGGAGGCGACATATCTTTGCTGGTGGAACCCGACATTGGACAGAAATGTAGAGTAGACCGAGGGCTTAGAACTTTCAGCTCTTCTTGCGTGTCTCCTTCCTGGATCCGAATCGAACTTTTTGAATCGTTGGTATCGTGCGGACAGCGGCTGGAGATTCGAAGGATGACTCTAAGAATGTACTAAGAGCACCTTAAGTTAGCAAAAGCCCCAGAAAAGCATTGCCGAGCCTCGTGACAGGCATGGGTTGAGGCAGGATCCGGTGAGCCCTGCAGGTGCCTCCGTCGATGCACTCCCTTCCCTATCCCGTACTCAAAGCCTGTCATGGGAGGGCGATGAGAGCAATGGCCACCATCATGGAGAGTAGTCAGGGCGAGCAGAAACAGGAGAGAGGATTTGGCTAAGAATGGTTGGTTCTGGAGCCTTGAGCCGCAACACGCAGCTCAAGCTGCTTTCCTGCGGGCGCACATGGAATATGAGTCCTTTATGATGCATAGCACAGCTTGAAGCGCATCTTCGTGCATTGTTGCATTCACTCCTCGTTTAGTTCTGGCTAACGTGCTCAAAACCGGACTCTTCAGTAAAGCAAAGCAAATCTCCAAAGTGAAGTTTCTTTGAGCTGTTTCACATGTAAAGTATGAAAGCTGTTGTCATTCAATAACGGGGGAGAGGAATTGGAAAGGCCGTCGGGCAGGAATTGCGCCGCGTGCGGGGAGGGAGGTTCATGGCTCGGGCCGGGGCCTCCTTCGTGGAGCTTTCGCCCCCGTAGATTCGGACCCAAGCATGGAGCCACATTCGGCTCCAACTCCAAGCCGAGGTGGGGCCGCATCAGCTGGAAGATGACGCCGCCACTTTCCGGCAGGTCAAGCAGAGAGTCACTTCCCACATCTTCTTCCCAGAAGCTGAGAGAAGCACGAAAGCCCTTCTACATCAATTTTGCTGGGCAGGGTGAGGTCCAAAAGAACACTGACTGGCTACGAAACGAGCAAGGAAAGCCTGGGCAATCAGGGTGGCAGCCAAATGCCAGCCCTTGGCAACCTCAGGATTTGGGGTTTAGGGCTTCAGGGTTTTCGTGCGCAGCCCCGAGCTGCGAATCCGCCCTAGCCCTTCAATGCAGTACATCGAGAAGTAGTCATGGTATGTGGAACACGTTTTCGATTTTAGGAGGAAGGCTCAGGCTTGCTAGGGCAACAAAGTGGGTGGCGGATTGCAGCTTTTGTCGCGATTTGCATGCTGTATTTGGAACTCCTCAATGACAAGGCGCTCAGTATTTGTTTCAACAGGGGGATGACATTGATGATCGATTGCTAGACCGGCTAAACCTGCATCCCGAAAGCCAGGTTTATTCAAAAGCCAGAGGTCAGCATTACATTGAAAGGTTTAGTGTCACCTTATGTCCTTCGCAGTTGCATGTGCACTCAGTCGGAGACCGGCGTACCTCCACCACGGACCCTCTTCGAAAAGCGTTAGATGCATCCAATTCGCAGCCTTCTTGAACCTTGTCGCTCCAAATTGCCTGTCCGAGGTCCAAGGCGCGATCTTCGATGTGGACGGAACGCTGCGAGGATCTCAAAGAGCCAGGTCAACGCGATCTCATGCTCGTGTCTTTCAGCAGCTTCGGAAAGCTTAGGCTAGCAAGTCCTCAGCAGATTCTTGTTTTTCAGGATGTAGCCACAGGTGCACCCCACAGTTTGGGCGGTGGGAATTGTCAGTCCTCGCCTTCTACGTGCATTCGGGGGAACGATGTGTAGCAGTTAACTTGAAGTTCCGGCCCTGTTCCAAACAATCGGGTGAAAGCTGTGAAGTTACACGGGCAAAAAGTTTGCAAGATTTGTAATCCTTTCTTCTTGGCAGATGCTGGAGCTTTACCCACAATGCCAATTGCTCAACTGCGGGGGGCTGACAACCAAAGCTCTGCTTCAACAAAGACGCAGCTTGTTCTCCACAATGTGAAATGATTCCTTGCGACATAGAGGATCTTCCACATGGAAACCAAATCCTAACCCTTTTTGAAGCCATTGCTACGTCCTCCAAAGAGATGTCCAAGACAAATCTTGAGCGGGGACAGGCGTAACTAAACTGCCTTGCTTCCTCGATTGGTTTGGAGAGCATTTTCATTCCCCTCCAAGTGTCCTCCACGAGCAGGCGGGCCGTGGCACCTAGGGCCTAGGGGGCTTAACTCGCCTTCCAAGAAGAAGAAGTGACAGAGAGGGACATAGAAGAAGTGGAAGAGCCATAGCAAACTAAAAGTGGTGCTTACCTGCGGTCACCATCAGGACAGCAATCCCGGGATTCAAACTTAGAACGGTAAGGTTGGACACGATGCCACTGTTCTACCCATCCTGGCCGAGGAGATTTCACATGCCCATGCGCGCTTTGGAGGAGTCTAGAGACTAGAGTACATCGTGTGACAGTGCATCGTATTGTTTGTAATGCCATTTCAGGTGCACTACATTTTCGATTCTGATTACCCTTCTGTGGCAGCTGCCTGGATTTCTTTCGAACATGCTTCAAGCCCAACAGCCCCCGCTTGCCGGCCATGAGGATGAGAACTCTGGCGAATCAGTTGAAAGCCCCGGTACTGCCCATGTCAGCTGAAGGTATCACCAGGCAAATGCTGAAGATCTGGTCAGCTCGCATCGATGCAAACGAAAACCTGTGAGGACTGGGGCACAGCCTCGGCCGGCGACTCGGGGCTCGAGTGGGATTTGGATTTTGGATCTTTGGAAAGCCCCGCTTTAGGCCTCAGGCCCGGCATTTTGCGTTGCTGGCGGATGCAGCCCAACATGCCAAGTCTCCGTTCGCCCATTTTCGCCCCTCTTCAGCTGCCGCATGCGAACGGAAGCACACGTGCTCAGAGCTCCCACGCCAAAGCCTCGCCAGGTTTGATCTCCGGATCACAGAGGATGACTTCTATCATCTTGCAGGACTGCGCCCTCGCTGTCCGTTCATTTAAAGACCGCTTAGCCTCTTGGGCATTCTGGAAACCATCCTGTTTGGACCTTGGATAGGTGTGCCTCTCCCTGACATGGCCGGGCGCCTGGCCACCTGAATTGCAGTCTTGCTCTGAACTGGTTTGCCCAGGCGGAACCCACGAGTTAGGATCTAGTAATCTAGTAGCTGCCTGTATTTTGGCTTGCCTCCTGGCCCGTGGTCTCAAGCCGTATGCTGAGGTGCAGAGCTTGCACCTTGCTCAGAAAGGTTCGGGTCCCACGGGTGCGCAGATGCTTACGTCTTTCTGGGGAACTTTGCTCTGCAAGCGCAGACTTCACCCAGCATTCCTTCCTGTGCTAAGGCTGTGATGCCTCTCCCGAGTATGTGCGTTGAACTCAGATCTATCAGAAGGGACATTGCATGCCAGTCCTGGGTTTGCAGATTGTAATTACTTGTTTTTGCTTTGGCTCGGGAGCGAATCTACTACTGATGCTGTTCATCATGCTTCCGTCAGTGGTTCCCTGACCAAGGAAGGATTTCATTGCAGAAAAGGTCCGCTTGCACAAGGAGGAGGAGGCAGACAAAGAATACATGCACTCATGCGGAATGATTTCGTCGAGAGGACAGGCCCAGAATGGACTAGGCATTGCTTAAGTAGGTGAGGGGGAACTGGGGAAACTTTGGGACACCGCTGGTGCTACATGGGTTATCCGCAAAACCTCGGCTCGATACTGATGTCAGTGCTTGCGGCTGGCCGTCTGCAAGCGGCGCAAACCGTTCAAAAGGGATGGCAAGACAAAGCTCCACATTTGAGCCGTCGGGGCAGGCCGAGAAGGGGCATCCGCCGGCAATTGCGTGTGCCATCCGCCCAGCTGCTTACCTTTGGCAGTCGGCTTAGGGGGTTGCGCTCTTTACATCGCAAACACAAGGGATCAGCTAAGGTCGTGTCTTTGCTGAAAGAGTACCGTGAGTGGCTGCCCCGGAGATAGTTCCGCATGGAGATTCCGCGATACTGCTTCGGCTGATCTGCGTACCGAACCCAGAACTGGCCCTGCGCCAAGACGGGTACAGTCCGAAGGGATACATGCACTGCATGCACCGCTCAACTAACTCTCAAGTCGTTGACCAGGCTTCTGTGGGCATGCACGGCAATTGACTTCTTTGGGCCATTATGTACGGTCCTTTCCAGCTCAGGCGCGGTGTGCCTGTGGCGATCGCCACATCCGGGTTGAAGGACATTGTGCTGGCACCTCGGTGGCTCATCAAAGTACGCATGCGCTGGCCGATTGGCGCAGTGAGCGAAGGGCCAGCAGGAACGCGGCAGCAGTATGTTCACCCATTCGCAGGCGGCCGAGCGGTCCGTTAGGCCATAAAGCAGGTTCTCTCCGTATGTATCGCGGCCGAAACTACACAGAAGTCACGTGGTGTGTGAGTGCACAGCAGTGGCACAGCATGCGTGCGTGCAGCGGAGCGGACGTCCGCTCAGGTCGCTTCCGCTTCCCTGAGCTGCCTGAGCTGAGGTTGGAGCACCTGGAGGCAGCCGGGCTGATGGACCTTGTGTCTCGTGAGTCCGGTCCCAAGAGAGGAGCTGCGATCTCGAGCAACTGTGGAGAATCCTTGTTTTCTGATGGCAGCTCCATGCCTTCGACGAGAAGTCATGGAGGTGTCGATAACCTCGTCTGCCAATGATGGCTGACTCACCGCCAAAACTCCACTCAGGCTGCAGTTCGACTGCAGCCCCTTCGTTCGACAGTTCAACTACAGCGTCGAATTTCCTACGAGACGTGCAAGACATGGCTTGTCACTAGCCACGGGCGAAATAGCAACTCAGCGTAGCCGCGTCTAGCTTTGCTGCAAGTTCCTCCGAATGTATTTTCAAGTGCTTGGGACAGTTTTGGCGAGATTCCCGGGGTGTCAGGAAGCTCAGGGTTGCGATCCGTAAGCCTTCGAAAGTTGCGGGTGTACTCAGCATTTTTGGAGGCCACGGCAAATCAGAGCTCAGCCTGTCAGGCACATGGTCTTCGCATCGGAGGTGCCTCGCGGCAAGCCTGGTCCCCGAAAGGCCAAAGGCACACGGGTGCTCAGAGAGTTTCTTCTGAGGAGGGCCTTAGGAAGCGTCGCCCGGGCTGCGCCTGATTTCATTGGTTTCTCGAGGCCGGACCCCGCCATTTACCTCGAAGCGGTCCTGAGCCAAGCTGGTTGCACAAATAATATCCTAGGAGCTGCAAGTTTGTCGGTCACGCCATGTAGAAATGCATTTGAAGCTTAGGCAAGACGACTTGGCGTGGATCCTCGCCGTTGCCGTGCCTATGAGGTCCGGGAGTCGGACGAAGGGGATGGGTAAAGAGTAGTAAAGTGATGGGTGCGAAGCGCACAGAGTCGACTGTGGCAAGGATGGGGAGAGTGGGCTTCGTGCAGCATGGGCTGCCGGCATGGAGGTCGCCAAGCCCTCAGCATTTGCAAATCGGAAAAGCCTTCCATGCTCGCTGTTGCATGGGATTTGAGCTACATGTTGTCATGATGGAAGGAGTTACGTTAGTATGCTTCTCCATGTTAAGGAAAATGTGATTGTACGGGGGCTTCAGTGGAAATGATTTTCGGATTGCCGCTTGCCTTGTCTGACCTTACTGGTAGGTCGATGTGACGTTCATGGAAGACTATCCGTCACCGGAAGCCCTGCGGAAGGCAAGGCAGCTTGGGTGTTCCTGAAATCGAATGAACTGGTTCGATCCTCTGATTTTCTTATCATCGACATCACAAACCCGCAGGCAAGTTTGGAGCAAGGACATACCAAGACTCGGAGCCATCCAACATATCGCACAGTCGTGTTACGAAGCCCTCAACTCGGCAACACACGTTCGTGGAGCCCTTTGAATGATCTGGTTGCTGGGTTTTTGAGTCTCAACCTTGCTCGCACACAGGTGGGTAGGTAGCTTTAGGCATATTGGTAGCTAGGTCAGCTAGGTCTAGCGTACGTACGAAGGTATGTATATGTGTGTGTGTGTACGTACGTACGTACGTAGACGTCGGCCGGCAGGCAGGTATAGGTATGTGACAGTATGTGCGTACGCATGCATACACAGTAGTGATGTACGACCATTTTGGGTATACATGCGTGACTGGCTGCCTGAGTGTGCGGATGCACGCATGCATGCAGTCTTAGTCTTGTTTGTTCGTTAGTAGGTCGGTCGGCGTGTTTGTTTGCTTGCTTGTTTGGTGATTGGTGTCTTTCTTGATTTGCTAGTTTGTTTGCTGGCTTGTTTGTTTCTTTGTGTGTGTGTGTGCTTGCTTGCTCGCTTGCTTGCTTGCTCGCTCGCTCTTTCGCTGGCTGGCTAGCTGCCTGGCCGGCTGGCTTGCTTGCTTGTTCGTTCGCGTGTGTGTTTGACGTGTTTCGACATCTATTCCAACGGTGAACATGTAGGGCACGGCTTTTTACGCATACTTGTACCTGGGTGCACTAGCTGGCTGCAGTATGAACGGGTGAGCAAGGCACGAGAGATCAGATCAGCAGATGCTGCCCGCCAGGCGAAAGCCGACCAGGTCCGAGAAAGGACGTGGCTGACGCCTGAAGCTGCTTCGTAAAATGAGCAATGGTGCAGCATGACAGTCTTAACGATTAACAGGGAAACGCACATGGAGGACGACCCCATTGGATCGCAGGCCGGCTGCGTGCCGTGCTTGTCGAAGTCGAAGTTGGCCACAAGCGCAAAAAATAGATACTATGCCCAGTCCATCATGCGACTCTAGGAATCGCATACTCTTAGGCTTTAGGGAGTGGGGAACTCTTTGGGCCGACGGAAAAGCAGTTCGATCTTTGAGAGCCTGCCACTTGCACCCCTGATGGGCGCGCAGTATTGGTGCCGTTCGTTTGTCCAGTTGTGCGTTTTTGAGGAGGCGGATGTGGTGGCTTGCGATTCCAGCACTGAGTCGCCAGCTAGGAAACCCACTCACAGTGGAATTGCCATGCCTGCACACCCCAACCCCCACTCCCCCACCCCCAACCCCTCCGCGTACCTCTGTCAGTCCAAGCCAAAGCCCAACAACTCTCGTAGGGCTTCACCTGTGCTGGCCGAGAGTTGGCAAACACCCTGCCAACGCTGCCTCTTGGTGCCCGCCATGGCCAAGATGATGGATCGCGTGCAGAGGCAGGTGATGAAGGTGCGGGTAGCCGGCCTTTATAGGGACTCGCTGACTTTCCTTCTGTCCTTCGACCAGGAGAAGCTGGCCAATTTCGACCTTCTCAAGGCCACAGCTCATGCGGAGTGGCACCATCAGCCCAACCTACGTACGACTGCCAGTAGCTTCTCGCCGCTGGGAGGACCTTCCCCTTGCCGCAAAGGAGGAGTTGATGAGCGTTGTTGAACAGGCCAGGTGACTTGTAATGTGTGATCGATTAGGTTGAAGCCTGCCGAGTCTGAGCATAATCCATGCATGCGGGCTCAGCAAGCTTCAATCAAACTGTGTGCGCTCTCGAGTGTTTGCGTCCCCATGTTGATGGACGGCGAGTACTTGCGACAACACGATGTTAGAGCTCCGCTCGAGGAAGCTGGATGAAGCTTTGGTAGCTTGCCAGACGAACATCACAGAGCAGCCAATGCTTTCGGAGACAAGCAACATGCTCTTTATTGAAGCGATGGCAGGTCCATTACCCAAAGGGTAGTGTGTTGTTCTACGAGGGTGAGTCCTCGTTCGACCTGTTCCTCATCCTCGATGGAGAGGCATCGATCATCGATCGTTGTCAGCTGCTGTTGGAGCAGTTCAACGCAGAGGGCACTCTTTCCGACACAAGGCCGTTTTTGCTAGAAGGCTCCCAAGCTGCTGGCGCTACATGCTTTGTGCAGGTCACGGTCTACAAAAAATCGCCTTCTGCTGAGGAGCAGGAGCAGGCCTCCATGGTGACAGGGTGTGGGGCAAGCAGCAAACAGTGCAGGGGTATTGGAGCTAGATGGCCAGTCAATGCTGTAGCCTGGCCTTGCTGGACATTTAGTTTGGTAGCATCTACAGGGTCCTTCCTGTTAGCAGGGTATCCAATCGTATTTAGTGTTCGGGGTCTGCATGAGGGTAGTTGTTTTTGGAGATGTTGGCAGAGTCCTCCCTGGAGAACCCTGGTTCCCAGAATTCATTAGCAAAGAAGCTCTTGGTGCTTTTGGTTTCCAGGAGAACGTTGCTTGCGGCACCATCTGCTCAAAGCTTTATGCAAAGAGTTTTCTGGTGGTCCAGGTTTCGCTTAGGGGCTTGGGGTTGTAACGAATACTAGTAAGTCCTGCGATTCGTGCTCTCACATTCTCTGCCGTTCCCAGAGTCCTGTAGCCCTCCCTGGGTATTTTGGAAGTTATGAGCCCTCAGCCGCGGAAGCAGACTCTTGGAACAAGAAACATCGCCCGCTGCCTGCGCCATGAGCAGATGGTAAGCTATGAAGCGGGGTGCTCCGACCTCCGATGCCGACATTGACGGCCTGCTGGAGGGGTTCACCTCCACGTCTGAGCGCAAGCGGGATGCTTCGCTGGTTTTGCAGCGCTTAGTTGCCGACGACCCAGGTGGTCTCGGCACAGCACTTGCACTGCGTATCACTGCAGGGGATGTGGAGGCCAGACGGTGTGCTGCTGTACTACTAAGGGAGGTCTTTACTCAGAACAGCATGAGCCTCATTCCCAAGTCTGACGGGTCCATTGGGCAGATTACAGAAGAAGAAAGCCAAGCAAGTCCTGTCTGGATCCGAGAAGGTCTCGGGGAAACCCTCCTCGAGTCATTCCGTTCGTCGGTGACAGAGCCGACGGTTCGATGCAAAGCTGCAGATGCTGTTGGCACGGCAGCTTTCCGTCAATTCACAATCGGCGGCCGGGCATGGCCCGCACTGACAGCAACACTTGCAAAGCTCTGCAGCACCGGTGCACGTCCTGAGATGATTGCAGTTCTTGAGCTGCTGGAAGTGCTGCGAGATGAGGCGGAGCTTGCAGAAGAAGACTGGCAGGAGAATGCCAGCGTCCACCCCATGACATGGGTCTATGCCCAGTTAGCTGCTCTCCAAGAGGAGTCTGGTGCCTTGCACACACTGCTGGCATCTGCTCTTCTCGACCCGCATGAAGCAGAGGGGGAGCCAGAACTTCTAACCGAAGCGGCTGCGCGTCTCTTTTGCCTTCTTGTCAAATCGGAGGCGCCGGAGGAGCTGCGGAGCGCATTCCGCGACTTGGCGCCGGCACTCGCGCAGGCGGTGGTCCGCTCCTCGGTCCGCTCACATCCAGCCCGGGACCGGGACCGGCGGGAGGCGTTGCTCCAGGCTTTGGCACTCGTCGTTCGGGATGATCCGGAGATGTGGGCAGAAGACTTGGGTGACTTGCCCTGTGTTCTCGCTCGCGCCGCCATGGACTCCAAAGCAGAGCCCGCAGCCAGGCTGGCAGCGATGGAGTCTTTGATGCAACTCCTGTATGCCTCTGATGTGTCCAATTTATCCTCCACCATGGATGTAAGCGACAGTGTGGAAGAATCGGAGCTAGAGGTGCACACATTGACAGCATTGGCGGCTGTGCTTGCAGAGCTGCCATCACCTGAAGCTACCGAGTGGTGGGCTGAAGTCGTCGACGGCGAAACTGAGCTGGAAGCAGACGACAGCGACCGAAGTCGAGCGGAAGAAGCCTTGCTGCAGGAAGCTTTGGACGATGCTTGCCGATTGATCCAGCGATCTGCCCGAGCATGCTCCAAGCTACATGCTGCAGCTCTCCAACTCTTGCAGATGGAATCCTGGCAAGCCAAGCACGGAGGTTTGCTGCTGCTGCTACGGCTTGCTGTTAAGACTTCGGAAGATGGTGAGCAGACCGTGGATGCGCAAAGAGCCGACGAGGCTTCAGAAGCAGCGCTGTCCTGCTTCACCAATACAAACCCCCGAGTGAGGTGGGCAGCGTTGGAGGTTTGGGCTCGGCTTTTGATGGCCGGATGCAGAGCACCGATTGGCCTCCTTCGTCAGATGCCGCAGCCGTTGCTTCTGCTTTGCAACGACATTTACACACGTGTCCGACGTCGAGGCCTGTTGGTCCTCCTCTTCTCCGCTCAGACGGCGCCACATGAGATGGCGATACACGGCGAGAAGATATTCAGGGAGGTACTGATCCCGCACGCGCATGACGACGATGACAGCAGGGCGGCCTGCCGTCAAATTGCAGAGCAGCTTGCCATGGTTAAAGATGTGCCAGGAGGCTGCACAGAAGAGCAGAGGACCTGCTTCCAACAAGAGTTGGAACGGGATGCCGTGGGCGGCAGCTATGCTTTTTGTGAGGACATGGCAGTCGAGCTGCCCACCGCATGCGGATAGCCTGGACCCTGAGGCAGATGTCATACATAGATGCAGTGAGACGACCAGGCACAACGATGTTCCAAAATGGCAACCCTGAATCCAAGATAAGCGGCTGAAGCCTTGAGCAGGCCCAGGCGGCTCCCGCTGGTCGACGGATGTCGATGGTGAGCGCCTTAGAAGTGCTCGGGAAGCGTGTGGTTGTGGACGGTGAGAAGCGTGCTGACATGGCCGCTGGGTAGAAAATTATGGTTTCCTAATTTTCTCGATAGCTTAATTCTCATCGAGGATCAAAGAACGCTGTAAGAAGTCCGCGCAGGCTTGGAACAAGGGTAACACATGGTAACACACCCAGCAAGACTCGGCAACAACACCTCTCCTACCAGCGAATCATCTAGAGCTGGGCGATTTTCTGGGAGCGCGAGGGCCGAGGGTGGCCTGCACGGCTTGCGCAAGCTCGAAGTGTGCAGATCAGATCTGTTCGTGCGTGCGCAGGCCTGCCGAGCATCGTAGTTCGAAGCATGTGCATACTCCCGGCCGGCCAGCACGTGAGGTTTAACGTAGAATCAAGCAGGCAGAACTCGAAAGTGCAACGAAATTGTTTTGCAGCCGAACTCCGAAATCAGAGCTCATCCTCAAGCGCTACTTTGGCTCCAAGGGCGGCTCACCGGACGTTCCGAGATGTTTGGTGAAGCCTTGGCCTAGAGGGCTGCTTACTGAGGCCAGGTCCTCCGAGTGTTGCTTCGAGTTTAGGTTGAATTTGCACAGAGAGACCGAGGTGCGCCGGAAATCTTCGGGCCTCATAATGGATGAGGCCGGCTGGTGCCCAGAAGAGACGGGACCCATAAAGGGGCCAACTGAGCCTTCGGTCTCATGCTAGGGCCCTAAGGCGTCCAAGCATTGAGGAGGATCTCGCGTCACGAACATGCCTCGCTTGGAGTCTGGAGTGTTTGTGAATGTGAGAGCCGGAACCGCGACAGAAGCCTAGAAAACCCTCGTGCTGAGTCAGTCGAAAGCCCAAAAGCCAAAAGTATTCTCGTTGCCTGCGTTGTGCGAGTGCGAAAGTCGAAAGAAATATGCTCATCTTGGCAGCCGGCGGAGCAGCAATATGGCCAGAGCATCGGCACCATTCGCTCCGGCCAGGCTGTGGGTGCCGGGCTCAGCTTTTGTGGTATTCAGCGTTCTAGGGTGCTAGAGTTTCCTCGAGGGTGCATGGTTTAGTTTAGATTTGACTTGGAGGCTATCCGGGTTCTTGGTCGGGCGGCTTAGCAGAAGTCTGGAAGCTTCTGGTCCTGAGTTGAGAGCCAGCTTTAGGAAGAACCGTGCGTGGTCTTCGGCAGAAGACGCGACCGACGTCACGAGATTTCCAGTTGAATCTGCAAGAGGACGAAGCCGAGTGACTGTCAACAGCTTCACGGATTCCCAGGTGTGGTGGCTTTGATGGAGAGCCAGCCTCGCTCTGCCACGGCACTGGTTTCGGAGCCTGGCGAGATGCTCCTCGTCAGGCCTGGCGCCTCGAATCAGAAACCTTGACAAGAATCAGACAAGCCCTACCCTGCAGCGCAGCTTGGTCAGCTAAACCCGAGTCTGGGATGCTTGTTTCAGATTCCCCGCGCAGGAAGGCCGATTTCGTGCGGCTCATCAAAGAGCCCATGAGCAGAGACTGGGTGGAGAAAGACAGGCTCCTGGACCTGCAGATGTGCTTGACATCTTGTGGGCTGTTTGCTGGCATTCTTACCACTACCTGCTATCGATCCTCTTGCTGTCGCTCTTCGTGTTCTCACCAGTGCCGCAGGCGTGGGATCTTCGTTCTCGCCCATCAATCCTATTTGTGTTTGCTTTTGTTGCTGCCGCTGGTGTTATTGACGAATCGAGCTCTCTCGCTAATCTAATGTGCCGGATGCACGGAGCTGCAGAAGCCGTCCGAAGACGCGCAGAGTACCGGTTGGACTCTGAAACATTCTTGTTGGGCGACGCAACCATCACACGGAGATTGACCCCATGGTCGTGGTGATGGTGATGGTGTCTATACGGTTCACAGCCGGTGGTTCTCAATCACAGTAGTGCTCGTTCAGATCAGTGGGCGCCGTTCAGCGATGTTCCGGCCAAGTTGAACATGGTCGATTGTCAGCCCGGTTTGGTGTGCTGAGATGCTGCCTGCCATGCGTGCCATTGCCTGCCTAGGTTCCTGCAGGATCACCTTGTGGGCATCCGAGAACATGCGAAGAGCTTCGTGCCGATCACTGGCAAGCCGAGAGCCTATTTGCAGGGTTTCCCATGACTTGCGGAGTATCTCAGATTTCAGGGTGACGAGGGAGGCATTTATATCTTCCGACACCCTGGGTTTGTTTTTCCATCTGCACATTGTGCAGAGGCCAGATCATACGTATATATCATGCGAAGAACGAGATGAACAGACAGATGCCCAACTTGATGCCGGGGAATGTCCAGGTCGCACGCGACGCATATGTTCGCCAAGAAGAAGTATCTTCCCGGCCATATCTTCTTGCACGAGGCAGTGACAACACGGAGTCTCGTTTGATGCTTGCAGATCTCTTCTGAGAATTACACAGCAGTCTTTCTCACCTCAAGATGGTCGCAGTAGAGAAGCGAGCGGGACGTTTTTATTGCTTCTCAGAGCTCACACTTCAGTACTGCTGTTGTCCTTCTTGTTGCACCTGCTAGTCGTCGTGTGAGTTATCGCCTGGCGAGTTCTGCAGCTGTTGAAGAGACCTGCCGTGGTAGTTCAACAGTTTTTGACGGCAGAGCTGTCGTCGTGCTTGCTTCGGCCTAGCAGTAGCAGCACAGCAGTAAGGCCAGGCATTCTGTTGCAAGCGGCAGTAACAGTAACTTGGCGGATGCTTCTTTTTCGAGCCACGGTCTTTCCATCTTCTGCCTGCCAGGGCCAGGTGGCGGAGGGTGCGCTTTACGTCATTTTCGAGGGCTCTGTGGAATTCTTTCGGGCTGCCTCAGGCGACCGCACCTCTGAGTGAAGCAAGAGCTTGGTTTGGACAGTCCGGTCATGAATAAAAGCCCCTATTGCCCTAGCTCTTGCGCTTGAGGGGTCTGGCAAACGCAGTAGTTATCATGGTCACGTCGTAGTCACTCGGGCATCCGCGAGGCCGTCGGCATCGCCTTCTAGTCTGTCACCAGCCCAATGACAAGAGATATACTGAGTTTACACCTGGCTCCTGATATCTTCTGGAAGGCGCCATCGCTCTGTACCCTGTGCATATTATGAGCGGTGCCCTGCTTGCTTGGCCAGCCTGAACAATTCAAAAGTGCTGGAGGTTCAGGGTAGAAAAGCTCGAAGCATTGTTAGCTCCCAAGCATTGCAGGCACAACCGCCAGACTTCGTGAAGCATGGAAAAACCCGGCAAGCTGCTCAGACCTTTGATGCCAGACTCGGGAACAAGGGTGTATGTTCATTCAAATTCGCACTGCTCCGTCACTTAGCACTTTCTGCCTAAATCTCACCCAAAAAACGAGGATGATCTTTTGTGCAAGCTCCGTGTCGTGCCCTCCATGTCTGGGGAGAGGTAATGGAGCAGCGGAAGCCTCTGGGCTTGCTTCAGCCGACGAGTGCTGGTGTCATCGCCCGCGAGTACAGGCCCTTCAGCAAGCGGAGTAAGGGAGCCAAGAGTAATGGCCCATTGTCGGCTGCAGCTAGCAACCAAGGTCGCAATAGATTTGCGGGCCATGTGGAACAATCACTGTGGGCTTGATCGCATGTCAGATATTTTGGTTTTCGTTGGAAGCCTCCTCAACCGCAGGGTGCTGTGTGCCTTCAGATTACCCAAGTTGTCGTCGTTTGTCTTCATCATGCCTTCTTTGCTGTTTCTTTGTCATTCTCTGTCGCGACGCCTGAGGCGGTAAAGAGGGCATTGGGCGTTGAGCACACCGAGCAACCTCTAGACTCTAGATGGCATGGAAGTGGGCATAACTCGATTTTCGGATGTTGCGGCAGGCTTTGCGCCATGTTGCCCGGGGGCCTTTTCAGCTCCGCCAGCTTCACCGGCGGAGAGAAAACGACGGAGGAGTTCTCAGTCATCGCAGGCCACTGAATATTGACCACAGTTCAGATAGTTAAACAGCTACTACACTGGTTCAGGGTTTCAGGCTTTAGAGTCGTCTACCTTGCTGCTGCCTTGACCTTGTACTATCTCGTCTCGAGGTTTCTCAGAGATTGACTGCTCTCATGAACCGTAGCTGTGTTTACAAAGGAGTCTTGGGTTGATTCAGTTCGAGCAATAGTCGCGCTTGACTGAAGACCGTCATGCCAAGTGACTTTGATGAGGTCGGCAAGTGAAACACTTCTCCGACACATGCACGAGGGAGTTCGTGAGAGATGAAACTGAAACTAAATCAGGTGCACCAAGCCGAATTTCTACAGCTCCATGATGCTCCTCCGTTCACGGTCGCAATATTTTACTGCTTGTGCTACAGGCCCAAAGGGCTGCGTGGTCTTCGAGTCTGTGGGAGACAACTTCCAGAAGCTCCCTTTGAAGGCTCACATAGAGGATCATAGAGGTTTAGCAGCCTTGGTACTGGTAACCAATTCTTCGATGACAGTAGTTTCGGGCGGCTTGGGGAAGTGTGGCCATGCCGGAGAGCCTTTGCCCGCATCTCCCAGGTGTTGCCTATGCTTTTGAGTTTGACATGTACATATGTGCAACTTGCTTCTAGGCTGCCTGGATTTCCAGCAATTGGGTGTGTTCCATGTTGCTTGGAGCTTTGAAAGCTGCGCCGGATATGTCCTTGTGGTGCGGTTTGAAGCCATAAACCTAGAGTCCCAGAGCCTGGGGGCGGGTGTCAAAAGTGCAGGTGGTTTCTGCAGCAAGGGAGGTCTTGTCCAAGGTGGCGCAGGTTCATCAAGAGAGGTGCCTCTTCTGCACCGACAACGTCACTGGACAGTGTAACAAGTGCAACCGTGTAATGCCATGCTAAGATCGTCTGCTCAACTGAGGTGCGGGGTGCTTCTGGCGACCCTTGATTCAGGAAGCGAGGAGAATCCAGCCAAGTCACTTGGCAAAACGGGCTTGGGTATGGAAAGCAGGTGCCGCAAAGGAGTGGCGGTGGCTCAGGCAAACATCGTCGCCTGATGTGGAGTCCTTCATGCATGAGAGATAGAAGTCATTCCTATCGCAACCGAATTTGTCCCAAGAATTCAAGATTGTTACGGCTGCGATTCTCCATTCGCTCTTTCCTGTGGTTGGCGATTACTGAGCCTGGGCGTCTTCCGAAGTTTTGGGGTTGGGGGAGCAGTGTAGCGATTGCTTGAGAAGGTGGACGAGGACAAGCAGAAAGAATAGGGCGTCGCGAAGATTGAATGTATTGTCGCCACCCCATTCAATGGCTTTGGCATCCAATACTTCCTAGACTGATTGAATCCAGCGGAAAAGCCATTCCTCTGAACGTAAAATAAAGCTGAGCTTCCGCCGGTGCAGATGGTGGCTGCATATCTCCTAGGTCAGTGTCTCGTCTAGTACTGTTGGTAATTGCGCTTCGCAGGATTTCGAAGACACCTCCTCAGGTGGAGTTTGTTTTTTTGGACTTCTCTGCTGCAGAAGACATCTTGAGAAGGTCCCCGTTCGAACTGCTAAATCTCATGTTGCCGTCTCCAAATTAAGGTGACTGGGGTCTACAATCATTACTATTCGTATTATGTTGTTTGTGTTGTCACGACAAGTGCTATCGTTTTTGTTATATGATACTCTTCTGGTCCTGAGGCTGTGGAAGCGCACGATGGCTTGGCAGGGCCTGAGCCCTGGCAGCTGAGGAGTGCAGTGCCAACGTTTCGAAGCGGACAAGACGAAAACTCTAGTAGTCATCCAGTATTCCTCAGGGTTCCCTGTCCCCGTTTAATGTGCACCCGTTTCATGCTTCGCCCCAGGCAGTGCGACTGCACGACGTGCCTCGCAATCGCCAGGGCCTTATCAAGTCAAGTGGCAGTTCCATGGACGTGTGTTGAGAGTTTGATTCCTGCAGGGTGTGGGCTTCAATTGATGGCTTCATAAGTTCGGGAATGTACTTGCTGCGAAGGGATTGGATGAGCAAAAATGTTTCTTGATTGAATGTTGGTACCAGCAGTACTGGGTGCACAAGATTCCGGCCGCCTGGTTAGGCTTCTGGCTTGAAGCCTTCCGAAGCTGCCTTTCTCACGACCCTGTGATATAAGGAATCCGCTCCTCACTTCGAGCAAGATGCAGGCACACCCGGTTCCGAACTGCGATCATAGACCGTTATGTAAAATCATGGTGTAGGCTAGCAGCTTTCAGAGGCCATGGCGACAACTTGCTTTGGCTTCTGCTAGATGTTGCATGATCCTTGATAATGCCAAGGCATGACCGATCCCTGTCGCAAAGTCTGTCTGTTGTGCTTAATGCGAATAAATGCCAAAGGTGGGCCTTCCACAAGGCCGGCGTGAGCGTGACGGACCGCTGACTGCACGCACTTTCCGCTCATCTTAGGCGTGCCCTAACCTACCAAAACCTATCTCGACGGAAGGGTTCCAAAGCACCCTACATTTGGTGTTTATATCACGACCCTGCCAAACAAGTAGGCTCTGGTAGCTGGGTGGCGTATGGTGGGGCTTTGAAGGCTTAGCCTGGCACCCAGGGTGCCTTGATGACGAAGCTATCATTGGCCCTGGGGTCTTAGTCTTCCAAACTTTGCCTCTGGCTCGTCACGCGATTCCTGGCTTCGTTCCCAGCAGTCTAGCACCGTCCTTTGACCAACATTATCAGAGCCAGAGCTACAATTTGCAGCTTGCACCTGCATGCGTTGGATCTGCGCGAAGTTTTAGTTGTTCGCCAGCCCCTTATGAGTTCGTATCTCCGCCAAGCAGCCAACTGAGAATTACAGCAACTCTTTCCAACGGGCCGACGGACCAGCAGCGCGCACAACGTGTGTCCACTGTGCACGCATTTGTACATGCACTGCTGCTTGGGCAACCATGATGCCTGGTTTTTGCGACCCCGTTGTTGGAGATGTTTGTTTCCCTTTTGCTTTTCGACGAGCCCTGAAGTCAGGGACAAGCGACATTGGCACTTGGGTGGGACGTGTCACAGCCACAGTCCAGAATGGCAGAGGCCCGTGGACAGAGCTGAGATCATGTTCCAGCCGTCTGGCTGATGTCGTTGAACCCGCGGCAGTGGAGGGAGATTAGCATGCCCCCAGCACTGCGGATTCTCTTATACTGACTTATATTTATACGCGACATGCGGCTGACTCAAAGGTTGGCCTCGCAGGCTACTCAACTCCTGCAGCTGTCCTCGCATGCGAAGCATGTCTTGGAAAGGCTGCAGTGGTGCAATTACAGGGGCATCCCTCGAACATAACGCGTGGGCAGGCAGGCACCAAACGTGTTGAGGCCGATGTAATCGTTCCGACACATGTTATGATTCAGGGGCAAGCCCGATGCAGGAGCGTCATGCTTCAGCATGTGCATTGGATGGACCGCAAACATACTCAACCCATGTCGCTGCTTTTAAACATCGAAGTCCTGAGACATGTCCTCATCAACCTTTGCGAGTTTAAATTCACCCCCCCCCCCCCGATGCACGGAAGGCCGGTTCGTGTCCGTAAAGTCGAGGTCGGATTAGCATCCAGATTCTGGTTTCTCACCCCGACACGGGCTGCGACGAGCGAAAATTGTGTGAGACCTGGACTCTCTTTACGGCTCTGTGACTCACGGCCGACGGCATTGCATGGCCTGTACAAACTCAAGAATAGATTCAGCCAATTCAGTGGCTAGTTTTCACTTGTCAGACGGTGCGAATGTTGCATAGTCTTCAGGCATATATAATAATTGGAATTCAATGATTCAAGTATTGATCCTACAGCTCATAGCTCATGTGGGTGGCACCCCGTGATTTCTTCGGCTCACAGGAAAGGCAGACGTGAAACCCCTCATCCTGCCTCTTAGTCTTTGCTTTTTCCATATATTTGCAGCCTTTGCTGGGCATGCGCCCCAGAACCGCAGCAGTTGAGCCAGAGTGGAAGCGGCTTTGTCGATGCCATGCGACTCCTGGTTGCCATCTGCCCCCAAACCCTAAAGCCTTCCGATGCCTCAAACCTCAACCTCGAACCATAGAGTGATCTGCCGTCGACCATCCCGGGGTCCTACCAGTCACGCATTTTGCTTTGTCAGGAGAGTGGGATCCTGGGAGGGAAGATGTCCAAGCAATCACAGTCGCTTTATGTGTTGGTCAGATTGATTGTTGTCCACCTTGACTATTCCGTTTCACACATCAGACTCCGAACCACATGCCCAAGGCAGATGGCAAAGGGCCCTGAGTGTGAGCACCAGAGTCGAACTTCCCGGTGGTGACGGTCAGCCTGGCGGGTGGGAAAACCCTGACCGAGGCAGATCGAAGGCTTGGCCAGGGATCCGCCTGCGCGAGGTGCTGCGAGAAGGCTCGAATTGTGGCGCAAGAAAATCCTGATCGCAGCGACACTTCACAATCGTGGTGCCGTTAAAACACTGATCTCAGACTATCGACCGAAGCCATCTGCATACATACAAAAGGAGCGTAGAAGTGCATTAGTCGCTGCAAGCAATCTCGTTGTCGCAGGGCCACCCGGCCATCTTGGCAGCTCGCCGATGGCTGCTGGGTCTCTCGCGTTCCGACTAGTACTTCCAGCGCTGTGCGCTTCATGCCTAGCAGGGCCCTGAGAGCCGGGGCATAGTGGCATACCTCAGCGAGGTGACTGCGCAACATCCTTCGGCGAAGACATACACACACTGAGGGTTTGCGTTGGCCGTTTTCGGCAGAGATCTGACTTCTGCATTTTGCGGGATATTTCCTGCTCTATGCAATCAGGCGATTGGTGCGCAGTGCTTGTTCCTCAGAGGCTTTGCCATCATGCGCTTGGCAAGTCCAGTACACACTGCAAAGCAGATAGAACCCCAGTCAAGGCGGAGTGCCTATCAAATCTCTAGGGCCCAAGGAACAAAGCATGCACGCCTCCTCGTAAGGTGGCACGGAGTGCACATTGGAGGTGCCCGAACCGCTTGAGGAAGAGGCTCGGTTGCGGGCCCCTTGCACGAGGCTTGAGAAGCCCATGGTCTCTGCCAGTGATCAGCAACTGGGCTGTAGGCAGCTCAGGCCGTAACAAGCACCGACTGACCGACTCAACAGACACAACCAGGGCCCAGCAGGCACTGCTCAATGCCACAGCGGCACATTTTTCGGCAAGGGCCACCCCGTGATCGTTGCAGGCTGAGCTGCTCGAGGTCAGGCTGCTGCAAACGTCAGGGCCTCAGGCCTTCCCTGATCCCTCTAGGACAGTCTCAAAACGGAACCGCCGAGCTAAGCTCGAGCTACACGAAGCCATGATGCCAAGGTCCATCGCGTTGAACAGTAAGGCGGCCGCCACCGTGGTGCAGAATGAGGCTTTGGCCAGGGCTTGCGTAGGTCTGTTGCATTCAGGGACTTGAGTTGCGCATGAGTCGCAGCTATCTCTGTGAAAGCGGGCCTTCCTCCAGGCCCCGTGCCTGTATTCAACATGCATGGCAGCTTGCCCGCTACAGCATCTGTCACTGGTATGTTCAGCCTCTAGCATCATCAGCTGTGCTATTGGTGATTATTGTCCTGTGCATCGGCAGCTTCCTGCTCCTTGTCCTCCTTCAAGGACGCCACATTCCCTCTTGCTTCATCTGCTTGTGATCGTTCTTACTTCTCCCAGACAGCCTCCGCCATGCTGAATTGTTCGCCTCCGGCCTTTTGGCCCCCGTGCAATGACTACCGTCCGTCCCGCTGCTCCTCCTTCTGCTCCACTACTTCTTCTTCTACTACTACTACTACTACCACTACCACTACCACTACCACTACCACTACCACTACTACTACCACTACCACTACTACTACTACTACTACTACCACTACCACTACCACTACCACTACCACTACCACTACCACTACCACTACCACTACC